CTCCCTGCCTAGTTAGGGCACAAATTTCCAACATAGGATTCGAAGTCATCAAACTATATATATATGTTTTTTGGTGGACAATTTGGATGACAAGCTTGTGTTTGGCACATGACTTTTCTTAAATTTGGCCCATGCCGCATGCCCTGACTGACTGCTACTCGTACATTGAGCACAAACAAATTGTCTTTGAAAGGTGCTTTTGTCTGGCATCGAGCAAGCCATTGTTCTGTGCCTCAGTCTTTGGCATGACGAGTGGAAAGGACCAAGGTGGAATGGATTCAGATCCGCTAGATTATGTTACAGATGAAAAGAGCGGCTCGGAATGGCACAGCTCACCTAGATGAACGCATCAAGGTTTGCACCGCGCTGGATCAGCCAGGCCGATGGAGACCGTTCCTTCAGCCTCATTGAGAGCATAGAGCATCCATGTTTTTTGTTTCTTTAAGTTTTAATATGCTTTAATGGTTCTATAGCGTTCTATGGCCTCTAGATTGAGGATTCTAGATGATTGTGGATTCTAGATGGCAAACATTGAGCATGTTGATAGACGAGGAACTCGGTGGTATGTCTCCTCATCATCGAGTTTCGGAGTTGACAACATTGCTGAACAATCTGCGGCCGTAAGGTGCTTGACATATACTCTTGGGGATGCATGAAGTCAGCAAGGGATAAGGGCCGTCAACCATCGGGTCATTGGATGGAAAGTAAGGTTGCCTTTTTGCACATGATGAAAACATCTGCGACATATCTATGATTCTTTGTTGGGAATGGTACGGCACTGGTTTGCTGGACTGCTATCGAAGATGCGTTCTGAAGAAAACACGAAGCGAAGCTTTGAAAGAGTTTGAAAGGACTTGCCACACGTTGAAAATTTGCCGATTGATTCACCATGCAACAAACACGATTTTCACAATTGATTCATCCATTGTTTCGGACATCGCTGTGCAGACGTCATAGCGAAGCTTTTGCCATGAAAGTCCGCTTGCCCTTGGAAGCCGTTTGGCCAACTGGATTCCGATGGCTGCAAGCTCTCCATTTGGCCTCTCGCATTCCGGGGTGGATACAGTAGTTTGTTCTCCCGTTTCAGAAAAGACGGTCTTGAGAAGTTTCAGGATGCTTTGCACAGATTCTTAGTTCTCAGTGTTGCTCGCACTTGTCATCACAGACCCCCATTGGGAGGAATATGACAAATCTATTGCATGCCGTGATATGCTGTGCTAGGACAACCCTTGTTTGGATTTGTTGGTTCGTTTTTGCAATGATTGCGCAAGCTTTGTCAGCTTTGTCCAATTGCGTTTCAAGGCAGATTCTACTGTAATACGCTGATCATTAGTATGTGTCTTGATTCATGTGACAGAGATTGAAACTACGAAACATCTCTCTATACCGTCTATACCCACTCACAGGCGAGCACAGCTACTTTCCAAAGCTGCCTCGTGCACCTTAAGGGCAAGGCACATCACCTTTCGCACTAGGAACAAGAAGCTACTAGGGGCTCCTGGCATCGCTACTAGGAGCAAGAACGCTACTAGGGGCTCCTGGCCTTACTACTAGGAACAAGGTTCGCTACTAGTCGGACGTACCTCCAAAGGGGATGCATGTCGAGTCTCCTCCAACAAAGCAACCTGGCGAAGGCCGCTGGGCTTGAGCCACCGCACCAGCTGTTAGTCGCCTCGCCATCCTTTTTTGCTCACCTGCCAAGCTCCTTGCTGATGAGCTGCTTTGGCCCCCCCGCTTTCTCCTCCGCTTCTGAGACAAAGACCGGCCTTTCAACCTTCTCCGTTGAATAGACCCTGCACACCAGCAGCGGAGATATTATATATATCATATATCCCTTCCGAGTCATTTTCCAGCTTCACCACACCCTGCAAGAAACCTGCTTTGCAGAGATTTGTGCCAAGAAATGGCCCACGTTGGGCGCATAACCTACGAAACGTCTCTCTATGCCCACTCACACAGGCGAGCAAAGCTACTTTCCAAAGCTGCCTCTACAGTACCCATGTGACGCGTGCACCTTGAGGGCTATTCACGTCACCTTCGCAGAAACAATTGGTTGGGGTGTAAACTCAACCAAAGTGTTGACCCGATACATCCTTCATAAGAACAGCTTTGGCTCACATGGATTTACTTAGACTTGATTTTGACAGCTTAACGCATGGCTTGGCCAGTGCTGCTGAGGATCATTTGCTCGATATCACCGGTCTACGTTTCATGCTTTTGGTGGGAGCTGTGATCTCGGGCGTGTTGCCCGACGAAACATGTTTTAAGCATCAAGACCGAAAGTGTTGAAAAAAGCAAACGTTTATGGTCATGTTGTATCATACAGACGGACATGGAATTGTAAAAAACATGTGATACAACCTGCAACAGAACTCCATTCCTTTTGTTAACCTTGCTAGCCCTTTTCTCCCATCATAAGGGCCGCGCCGATGATGTCCCACACGAAATTGTGTCCGCTCAGGTTTGGTTTCTCTTGGCTTTTGGACGCCATTCAATTTCGATGCTTGCAGTCGCCTTGGCCAAATCTAATCTTGCTGCATCGGGCATTTGCTACGGGACAGAGGTTCGTTTGTACACGCGGAATTCGGATCGTTTGTACACGCGGTGACGGGGATCGTTTGTACGCGCGGGGATCGTTTGTACACGCGGCTTCCGTATGCGGGGTGCCTGAACAGTGTGGCCATACTTTGGGTTCTTACGGTAGGTGCAAAGGCTGGGTGTTGATCCAGGGTGCTCAGATGTGCGTGAGGCCAATTCGCTGGTATTTATGGTGCTTTGACTCGACTTGTTCAAAGTGCATTTTGACGGCGCAAGCTTGCAGAATCTGCTGGGCAGCGGTGTGCTATCTTTGAGTGTGCGACGTGTGCTAGTCGAAGTGAACGTCAATAGCCCCACCCCGCCCCTTGTGCCCTGTGTGTGCAGATGATCCAGATTTGTGCGCGCAGATGATCCAGATCTGTGTGCGCAGATGATCCTGATCTGTGTGCGCAGATGAGCCCCTGTCCTTTGCTACGCTCCTTCCCCTCAAATTGCAAACACTACTATAGGTGTAGAAGAGGCAGGAAGGGAGTGTATTGGCTGTGTTGTGTTCACGGTATATAACGAGACTAGATTGTTGTCAGCCTTTTGCAAACGTCTTCGGCAGGATTTGGAAGGATGTTACCACACACACACACGTTTACGGAAAGGGTCTCGGTTGTGACGCGTTTTTTTTGTCTCGAATGTGACGCGGAGAGCTTTTCTCAGTTGTGACGCGGAGAGCTTTTCTTTTAGAGAATCTGTGTGCTTCTGGGCCCTTGCTTGGTTCTCATAAAGTCATAAAGCTCCAATCCAGCTCCACACCAATTCCACCCCCCC